ACTGTATATACCTATTAAGATCATTTTACTAGTTTCGCTACGATTAGTAAATATGTATATATATTCTTTATCGCAATACTATATGTTTTATACAGTAAAAATAACAGAAGTAATGTAAGTGAAGGTGAACTACTGTAGATAACATATTAAAACTAAAAGTTTCTAAAAATGTTTATATCTTTATAATACATATCTGAATATTATTCAAGTCTTGGATTAACATATCGGTTATCTAAAAACGGACAATTAATGAATCAATTGTATCAACGCATTTCAATATTAAATCAATTTTATAGGATTCAGAAACCGCTATATTTTTGACGACGCATTTCTAAAGAGACATCTATAAATTTATTATCTAAGAATAAAACTTTAATGAAGCAGCACATTGGCACATAACTCATGTTTTATTTTAAATGACTAATTAAAACGTAATCAATTCTCTAACTTATAAACACTAAAATAACATGCGGCTATTGTTGAGTGGAAGCCAAGCTCAATATTTACTTGTAGTAGCCATATATACCTAGTGAAGTACCTATTTTTAATTTTATTTACAAAAGTGCACAACTGCATCGAATAAATTAACCTTCAACTACTTAAAATGTACATTTTGCGTCTCGGCAAAATTTTTTTCGAAATTAATCATTTAAATATAAGACAAATAAAAAATATTATGATACAATTTAATTTCGATAAAAGCTATCTATCTACCAATTTTGTATATTAAATATATTTTAAAAAATTACAAACATTTGCTTCGCTTTCTTTCCATTGTGCGAAACCCAAATAAAGGGGGGGGGGGGGGGAAAGGAAGTGTTAGTGATGAAGACTGAGAATCCCATTGCTAGCAATATACCCAACCAGGTCGCCTCCTCGCGGTTCTCTCTGGAAACTATCATGGTTAATTCCTGATGAATTCATCATGATTGGCTAACTGATCTGTTTTCATTCTCATCTATCACCCTTCACTGGTGTTCCGCCAGCGTATCCCGTTAGCGCAGGCGGGGTTACCATACCATTTTCACCCATCAAAAAAACCCCAAATAAAAGTCTATTCCTATACAATGAACATGCCTGAATCTAGATTATTAGATAGTACAATGTTCAAAAAATTCAAAAAATAGTACAATGTTATAATTAATTAAAATTATAACATTGTACTATTTTTTGAATTAATTACATGAAAAAAACCATAATGTAATAAATAATAACTACTATACTATTATAATTCATGATCTAAGGCATCAAGTAACTACAACAGCTGTACTCAAATATGATTTGTATTTGAAAAACAAACACTTCCAAGATATAAAATATAATTTAATTATGTTATCTAAAATTAAAGTATAATTGTTTAAATGACCCATTATTTCCTCTATGATTATTATGCCAATCTTGATTTCGTATTACTTATTTATTTGGCAGCTGGAGACAGGAACATGTTTACAATTTTGTCATTGGCATACATGTGTCTCGGGTGTCATGATGAGTGTTTTGAAATACTCTCGAAGACCACTTGTAGCCATACATCAAGCTGATGAATTGTTATCCTATATATCTTATAACATTGCAAATATATTTATTGACTACCAACTATACAATATATATACTATACAACTATAGCGCAGTGATAGCAACCCGCTTTCGGATTCGTTTCTCAATCGAGTCAATTTAAGAAATCGGCTTTAAAAAAAGGAGAGTACCTACTATTAATTCGATTGTATTTTTTATGTTTATTACCTTAGAACTCCCTCATTTATAAATCTATTTTTTTATACCAAAAGGATAAAGTATCAGATTGCTATGGATTGGATTGGTCAGATAAACATTCAGAATATTATTTTTATACTCTATCTAGTAGTGTGGAGCTAATAATTAGTATGTATAAATATCTACCTATTTAAAACAATGATGCTTCTCCAAATCCCCACAGATTATAATATAAATAACTGAAGTTTTACACTGATTTAGATTAACATGTTTTGAAAATTTGGTATCAGCTGTTTGATGTTGAAACATGTTTTAATTAGTGTTTATTAATGTTATATAATTTGCCATGTTTTGGTAGTTGATATACATTATATTTTTTATTTAGATCTGACATTTTTAACTCGTCTATTTATTTTCATTAGAGTTTGTATTAAACCTTGAAAAACATCTGACGCTGCGGAGTGACCGAAACATGCTTTATAATCTCCCGTCGGTCTGCGCGCCGCCAGCTTGTTGCCATGCTCTCTATATTTTGTTTGTTACCTATATTATTTTCATTATATTCAGTTTTCAGTGTTCCGTCCAGACCTAAATGTATCTATCTGTGTTTATATCCAACCAGTATCTTTTTCTTCAGAATGGTTCTAACTAAAATCTCCACCAAGTAGTTACTAAGGTCTATAATCTTACTTCTTTATACTATATTCAAGTTTTTAACTTAATATAATAAACAACGTATAAATCATTTACTTACTAACCTACCTATTTACATAGTGATATTGCGCATAATATAAACCAATAGTACACTAGGTTTTTTTAGAATATTTTTTGTATAAAACCAAATATTGTGGTAATGATCACTATACTATACTATAGGTAAAAAAAATGCACTTAGTGCATTACTCAGTTAAATGAGGCAATCATGGCGGGTTCTGTTGTTCTTATGATTATGCCTCAATACAAATGACTACATCCAATTTGGTATAGTAGTTTCTGGATAACATCAGAACAAAAATATAGACAGACACAAAATAAAAATAAATTGTTTTGGCTTCTACTGATCTTATTAAGATCCTTCATATATTTTTTTATTAAATATACCCCAGTACAGTCTATTTACAATTTTATTATATTAAGAAAAAATACATTTTTTATATTACATTGTAATTAGCAGGTATTGTACTTAGATTTATTAGATAAATAGAAAAAAAGGATCTTAATGGATAGACAGCAAGGTAATCCTAAAAATGTTCTCTTTGTTGTAAGTACGATATCCTAAAAACCAGAATTAGAACCAAAATAAACACTTGTGCGCTGTATTTACTAGATACTCCTCATTTTAATGGCGAATAAGTCAAATTGGTAACAGTGCTACTGACATGTGTTCGGAGTGCCCTATGGCATATCGCCAACAGCAACTAAATGTATGTACAAAATTTATCTTCACTAATCAATTATGTGACTAGGGGGTCTTCTAATTCCTATTTTTGCGGAACAAATACCGTACTCGTCATTAAATGTTGACACTGTCCTGTGACGTCACTCTAGCGCGTATCCTACTGGCGGAAAGCCAAGATCAACGCGTTCGAGACGGCATGTCATTGCCACTATCTAGTAACCACTAGGCCACTTACTGCACTATACAATATACACACAAACAATAATGTACTTGAAATAATTTATGGCCACTTCCGCGGTATTTGGCGTACTGATAACTTCTGTTATGTGTCTCTACCTGTAATTTCATTCGCATTTATATTGATATTTAATCCACAACCATATTTGTATCTGATTAATAAAATAAAAATTAATTTCTTCTAATATTAAAGAAACAAATTTTTATTTTAATTATTTTTTGTAAAACATACAGCAACTTACCATTGATACCTCAGACTACCCCATTTGGGTTTGCAGTCGTAAACATATTAAAATTTTTTTATACGGAGTTTTTACTGATACAAATTGGATATACCAAGACTACAATGAAAATATATTACAAAAAAATTGTCAATAATATTCTTTATATAAGAGACTGAGCAGCATAATAATGTCCAGCCGAAACTGCTATTTTTTCTACTAGTTTGTATGGATAACAATGAGTTTATATAAGCGAATCTGCGAAAAGGAATTAGTTATATTACAAAATAAATTGTCTTATATATTCGAAATCAGTTTAAAGATTCTTACCGACGACAGAAAAAATGTCAATAATTTAAATTCAGAACGAATTTACTCGTATCAACATCCAGTAGGTATGCATGGTTTTGCGCAATTATACGAGAATGTGAATATATACGAATACATTAATTTCAGTCGATCAGTATAAAGAGTAAAGACCACTAGTCGGCCTCCGTTTGTCGCGCCTACAAAACATCTCGCGGAAGAGTTCAGGCGCGGTCGTTTGTGATCAGTACCGACCACAGAAGAGGGAGGCATGATCAGACAAAGCCCGAAGACACCTAACTACAAGAGCGTTGTGGGCTCAAACAGGGCTTCACGGAAGCCACACATTAATAAAGAGTTATGTCAAAAAAATTCGAGACTCCAGTACTCCACAGTGTCCATTTCAAGTCGTTGCGGATGCAGTCAAAAAGTTGCCCAAAGGCGGCGGTAGATTGAAACCGGCCCTGCCCATAATCAATACACTACTCTCTCAGAAATACTTGTATAGGCCTAACAAATATATTAAATGTCAAATCAATCAATTACACGTGACAAACGATTTAGGTATTATAGATTGGCATCTCTCCATTACAATTGAATGTCGAAAGAATTTAAGATTGATCTGAATATGTTTAGATCGTTAAATGCAGTTTTCAAATGTTTGTATGAAGTCCAAATTCATGGTTGCACAGAATTCGCATACATGTCAGGCCTTCAAAGTAGTATTTCTGGCCTTTAATGACCATCGCATCATGCCAAATACTAACTTTCTTTCCGCTTAATAGTAAAATCATCAATAATAGGTAAAATAGTACAACTTCTTATTCTTATCTTTCTTACTACTATATGAATGACTGGTCTACAGTCTAAGTCAGTGGGTCTATTAAAACTGAAATCTTATAAAGGAATGCCTTATATAACGTGATGAGCACTAAAAAAAAGGTTTTTTGATATTCTGACAGGAACAACAGACAAAAAAATATATTATTGTGTACATATCTATAATTACTCTATAATATCAGAACACTTGGACGGGATTTTATTTACCTACCTAACTTTATATTTTACACTATAAGTTGTTGAACAATTACTAATTATATATTAAACAATATAATTTTTTTTAGATAAACATGTACGACAAAGCACGTTGGATAAATTGTGGAACAAACAATCGGGAGCGATACAAATGCTGCTCTCCATACTTGAAGTAAGACCACAAATTATGCTCGTCCCAATTCATTTGGATATTAAATCACAACTTACGAATGTAAATATTAAACGTTTCAAATAATTTCAGAACACAAGAGACACAGCCACTTCTACCTACATAACATCCATACTGAGAGAAGTTTTGTGTTTAAAGCAAGGAAAGGGGAAAAAAAGCTCAGGTAAGATATGCATTTTACTTATTTAATAAAATCTCTTAAGGGCTTGGAAAACACGATTTATTTATTTATTTGATAAATTATCAATAGAAGTACCGTCATCAAACAAGAAGAAAGAAAATAAAAAGGCAGGCAAAGAAAACAAAGCGCCTCTCGTTAAAAAGGGTATGTGTCAAGTGTGGCGCTTATTTCCTTGGCTGGATTCTCAGATTAACTGGCCACTAAACTACATAAATCTTGTCACTTTTTGATAAGTTGCTTTGCATGTTTATTCCTATAATATTTTGTAAAGTATGTTGGTATATAGTTATTCTGTCAGTATTGGTTGGAATATATATACGAGTTTATCGCACTGTAATATTCGAGATGCCTGGAATACTCACAGCTGCTGTACTAAATAACCTTTTTGCTTATGTGACAGACCAGCCCACTGACATTTAAGACACGCTCACTTAAACATTGCTTGACATTGGATATGTTGACTATTCGACCTTGTAATCTGTAATATTAGAATGACAATATACATGAATATTATTCAATTGTCTTTTCACCGCACTGTTATCTTCGATCAAATTAACATACGCATTTAGACAATGACCGTAATATAGGCACTGACTTCGTGGGCGTTTCGTGCGCTTTGTTTTATAAATTGCCGCCCAAATCTGGCTTCTTTAATCTAATATTATCTCCTTGACCTCGAATATATTTATCAAATTAGGCTAGTCAGACAAATAAGTCGATATCAATAATTTCAGTAAACAACCTCGCGAGACAACAGTGCGCGCAACACTTCATATCCTTAAACGGGTCGCAATCAGTGCTCCGCACTTTGATTGCCACACACGGGAAACGCGATGGCAACGTTGGCACTGAACTGATGCTGCAGGACCTCGTCTGGATCCTCGCCTCACTGGCGCCTAGAGGTATATATCCTAACACTTACTTATCACTCCAATTAATAACCGAATCTAGCAAGAGTGCGCCCAAGATTTCATATCGATAAAAGGAACACGAGTAATTATAAGGAAAAATTATTGATACAGTGCACGACAAACGAGATCGACGCTCGGGAACGGAATTAATATTACAAGATTTTGTTTGGATTTTGGCATCACTCAGTTCTCGAGATTACGACTATTAATCATTACAACTTAATAACAATTTATTATATAAGTACAGATATTTGTTCACAATTTAAACGCTTGAACATGAGTGTTTAATAATTTTCTCTTAATCTAATTTCAGATCCCAAGTTCGCAATGAAAGTTAAAATGCTTGGATGCGTAAGGACAATACATCTAATATTGAAAGGTCACTTTACAGACAATAAATTAATTTTCCCCCTATTAGTAATAATGAAACAGTTAGCCAAAAATGGTAAGCCAGTGTTTTGTTTTATTGCTATACTGATAGATAGTAATAAAAAAGTATTAAATCAAAATATTGAAAATGTTGTAGTTGTCACAACTTCCATTTTGATCCGAGATGGAGTGATCGCCACATATGAACGGGTGCTGGTGAGCCTAGGGTTCATTCCAACAGCCAGACTCCGCTTGTGTTTGGACGCTATAGACTACTTCAGCAAAAATAGTTAAGTGGAAACAATATACTTATTTATCGAGTTGATTCGATACATTTCGATGTTCAATGTTTATTCATGTAATGTAATGTTTGTTCATTAATGTAATTAATGATCTATTTCAGCGAATACAATAAAATTTTGACAATGTTCACTATAGATTGAAGTAGGTATCACAAAATAATATCTGCCAAAGTTTTACACAACATCACAATATTGTTAAGAGGTCAATTCACATACAAACGATTTTGCATAATACTAAATTATCATTTAAAAAACTTGCAAATAACGCACAAAAAGTTAATCATGCAATACTTGAAAATTTGAAATTTAGTGTTAAAAAAGTATTTGAAAATATTAAAAGTTAAACAAAAAATTTGGTATCGATTTCATAATACCACAATATTTGTGATTAATTTAAGCCCAGCTAACTTACCTGTCAACTTTTAGTTCACTACAGAATAATTAATTATAAAATGATAATTCGGTATGCAATATGTAAAACCGTATGTTTCTTTGATAGATATCGCTAGTACTGACAAGTGCCCTGTTAAGCGTAGTGGAACATCACATTCCAAGTTATTGTTTCTAATTTATATGTTTGCATGTGGACCGGGCTCTGTGTATGTCACACAATCACACGTACGTAACTCACACAGAAGTGTGCTGCATGCAGATCGTGAAGACAGGCCTAAGTAGCGTGCTCCTCCGAGTGTTCGACCGGTGGGACCGCTACGAGGGCCGCATGAGACTCAAGATATGCGCTCACATATTGCAGACCCTTCAGCACTTATGCAATATAAGTATGTATTTTTCAATGGCTTCACTCCTAAAAATGATGATATAAAAAAATACAACTGCAGTCCCGTTTAGAGAGAATGAGAGAGAAAAAAAGCCAGAAATAGAAAGGCCACTTTGTTACCATAACAGTAAACAAAATTCTAAATCATATTATAATAATATTATAAAAGGTCAACATTTGCCAAGTAAACCATCTGAGTGTTAACCGGAGAGTTGATTAGAAATGTAAATTGATACACTAAGTTTGGATGTCAGCCAGATTCGCAGACAATTATGAGTATAAATATTAGACTAGTAGACCTGTAGATCACGTTATTGTAATACATATAAAAATATCGAAGTTATGCCAATGTTTAATTTTCTGTTATGTCTCTAAATCATTTTAAATTGTAAATAATCACGTTATTATTTTTAATGCTGAAAGCATATATTAGTATGGTTTAATTAAATTCTTATAGGAAGCAAATCTTTATTAATAAATATTTATTCAATTAATGCAATTGTAGAGCTTTAACAACATATATGACAATATATTCTTATTGCTAATTACAATTTTTCAGAGGCTGGACGTCGAGCGTTGTGCACAAAGAAACATGTGCAGACACTGCATCGATTTTGTTCACAATGTCCAGACGAGCCAGAATTTGACGGACTGTTAGCTCGCGTATGCTCAGTAATCACGTTGTGTCTTAAACATCAAGCCTTACCTGTTCCTGCCTCTAGTCCAGCTTCTTTCAATCTTAGTCCAATTTTAAAAGGTAACGTATGGTTAAATTATTTTATTTTGTAACGTATTACTTCAAAAAGATTAGTTAATAATTACTAAGGATATCTACCATTCTATTTTTCTCACTTCCCTAAACTTCTTTAATTAATGATGTATATATTTAGATATTTTATTCTAATTTGAATAAGTTATAAAATTTCAAGATAATGTAACAATTTGAAGATAATCATCTTAATTATATAGTAACTGTATTACAAGGCTTTAATCATGTAAATTAAAGTAATAAGTAAGTATTCCATATGGAGGTAGTCCATTCGGCTATATAACCATAATTGGGAACAAACCATCTTGACATTAAATTTGTTGTGTTGTTTGTATAATTATAAAAAAATAATGTATCAAATTACAGGAACAAACACGTCGTGGCCTTGTCATGAAGATGAAGAAGACGCTGCAAATTCTGATTCGAAAACTTTTAACTCGGATCTCGACGATGATGAACCTGACACTGACGTAGAGGCTGATGAATTTCCAGACATAGATTTTGATGAAGAAGTTAAGACAGATGCAAACGATGAAGACAAAGTTCACACTAAAAGCGGTGATAGTTTACAGAATGCACTGTGGATCAATCCTAATGAGAGAGATTTAGAAGACTTAAAAAAGTATATAAAATACTGTTAACAATAAAACTAATCTAATATAGTGTTATTGCTGACTTCCAGCGTCTTACTTATATACTATATTAATGTACCACGGGAATACTCAAACTTAACAAATTGTAATATACAAATACATTATCTACTGCTGGCGAGCTAACTGATTACCGCAGTCACCAGTTACTTAGATAACTTATTACCCTTAGATCATATAGATAGAGCATCGAGTGTCAAAAACGGGTCAACTTTTGTCAGCTAATTAGTTGACTCGTTTGTTCTACATATATACTTGCTCACAAAATGTATCTTGAAGTATCTATATTCAATAATTTTCTAAATAAATTTTTACCCATTTAAAAGATGCAAAAATTATAAAACAAAATAAATATAGAAGTTATAAAGGAAACACTGACTATTTATCACGCAAAATTGTATGAAAAAGTTGACCCGCTTTTCTCGAAGCATTTGTATGGAGACACTCTATCTATATAATCTTAGTTATTACCATATAAAATACATAATTGTTCTCATTGATTTTTTAATATATTAACTACACTTTACTATATTATTTCACGATTAATTTTGTTACAGATATTTTATATATTTTAAAGAATTTGGATCGTACAATAAACAAATAAGACTTGTTAAAAGTCGTTCCAATTCTAGAGGATCAATATTAGAAGATTTTTTGACATCGCAAGCGGGAAGTAATAAAAACGTGCCTTCACTAAATCTTTCATTAACCGCTGTATTAGGCAACACCGATTACGATAGTATTATGGGATCATCACAAGCGACTTCTTTTCTCCAAGGTTTTCATAGAATTCATGAAAGCGCTTGTAAGTTGACATAACATTGCCATATTAAAAATTATGTTTACCATAACCATATAAGTAATGTTTTTTATTTATTACAGCTACCACATCATATTCATCTCTAAAGATTCACAAAGATATTTCCAAATATAGTTCGTTTGCAGTAGTATATAGTACAATATCATCAAGAGTTAGAAGTGTAATACCCTTTGTAAAAGTAGCATATCCGGATATGATGGGCGGTCAAAGTTACAATCAACCTGAACCTCTTAACAAAATGGAACGTTCAGCTTGCAGGTAATATAGTCATAGTAATGTTTTACGTTTCGTTACTAAAGCATTATATAGCCACACCTATCTACTTCATTGTAAATGATTAATTATCTTTAATGAACAGCCTATCTATGGATGTGTGCCATACATAGCCCGCCGTGTGGTCCCGGCATAAAATAGGCTATCCCTTCCTCACCCGTGAGTGTTATAAGAGGCGACTATGAGAAGGCGAGGGATGGGCTGCAGCGTCCCTATTAAAACATCTCCAAAGCCTAACTGCGGTTGCTAATCCGCCTACCAAGCGTAGTAACTACTGGCAAAACTCCCTATGAGAGAGGTTTATGCTCATCAGTAGACAGTTAAAGACTAAAATGATGATGTCTATGGATACTTGTAACTTATGTATTAGTTCTATATAAATTTTTTCTATTTAATAACTGATATTTCTGCGAAGCGTCATTTTCAATTTTTATATATCCCCCCAGAGACATCAACTTTTGAACATGATAGAATGATTTCAATATACCTTAAAAATATTATTTTTAACTATTGTTAGATACTTGTTAAGGTTTTTTTATAAATTTTCAGAATTAAACTACTTTCCTGTGTTGATCGTGCTATCAATCCTGAAGCTTATATGAATGAAGTAGTTTATGATCTAGATCAACTTTGTAGCAGTAATGTAATCAATACTAATGCGGACACTACGTCCCAAAAAAGGTAAAATATTATGTTATCGTAAAGTCAAATCTGTTACGAGATTGTCAAATAAAACCGAGTTCAAGTTGCTTTTGTCATGTAACTTATATCCAGTACAATGGAAATCTAAATAGCTCTTTAAATACCTTATGTATAGTTATGTTCTTATGTATATAGACAAAAGTCTATATTTTTACCATGTATTTTAACAAAAACAATAATATTAAATTTTATAATCAAACTAAATCTATTCACATATTTCTGTGCTTCGCTACATGTTATAAAAATCGTACACATTAAATGATGATTGACTCATTCTTTCAAACCTACGTATACTATTACATAGCTACAGATATATATAAAGAACCAGATGGTAAATATGGTAAAGAAATAACTGCAACTATATAATAAAATAGTACGAAACCTAAAACGAATGGGAGGTCGGAGACTTCTGTAGTACGTAGCATCTTGTATTTTATAAATAACACTGTCTAAAGAGACAGTATTTAATTTCACTGTGATGAATTAAGCTCATTTGCCTATTAAAATTATTAACTTCAATTTCAGTTCAGACAGTTTGTTTTTAACCAATAATGATGAACAAGAAATTACAAAAGTCAACTGTTTTTCATCGCGACTTAGCTTCGAATCCAGATTTGAATCTGGTAATCTGAGAAAAGCTATTCAGGTAATTGTATATCATGGTAGTATAATTGCAACAAAAATATATTAATAAATCTCAACACCATATTTATTATCTAATATAGCTTTATTGTTACCTTAGATTCTAACTTTCTGCCATCTATCGAGTCTCTCTTTCTCTCTCCAACACCAACTTTGTGCATCGGATATTATAAAATATACATAATATAAATAATTATTAATACCTCTATTGTAATGAAGCTATATGTAGCATTTCAATTAATTATCCAAGTATAGCTTTTAAGTAAATCCGTAATATAAACTAGAGCGAATAATTTCAGATAGGTCCAAGAGAGTATGAACTGATTCTCATGCCGGATGTCAACTCTAATAAAAGACATCAGTGGTTCTACTTCGAGGTACGGAACATGCAGAGTGGTCGGCCCTACACCTTCAATATTGTCAACTGTGAAAAGTCCGACAGCCAATTTAATTTTGGCATGAAGCCAGTCATGTATTCCGTGAAGGAAGCTGTAATGGGCAAACCAGGTAAATTCGAAACTGTCACAAAAGATCACATAATCTCACAAAAGATGACCTACAAAATAATTAGACAGTCTATAAACATCTACTATGAAGAGATTTTTATAGGTATCAAGGAAAAGAGTTCCACGCAGGTTAGGCTATAAATCATAGTTCGCTATATTTTTAATTGTAGGCGCTAACTGGAGTTATTATTTAAATCTAGATCCTTTTAAAAATATAACTACAAACTTAAGTTTATCAAAACTTCATTGTATTGATAATATATTTTACTAATAGCTCACTTGCCATTTTAAGTGTACAAAAATGGTTTCAGGATGGGTAAGAGCCGGTTCGGATATTTGCTACTACCGAAACAGCTACCATTATGCGAACCAGAAAAATCACAACAAATGTTACCTAACCGTTACCTTTAATATTGAGTTCCCGCACAGCAATGACGTGTGCTATCTCGCCTACCACTACCCATTCACTTACTCTATGATGATGGTAAGTTGAACTTGATATAATTTTTTAAAATTAGATTTTAATTATTATTTTTTGTTATCCACTACTGAGCATAAGACTTAGCTACAAGAAATGGACTTGAGCGACCTACATTCTGCACCCATTAACTCCTTGCAACAAATTTTAAGTCGTCGTTTCATCTTGTGGCGAATCACATTGTACTGAGTTTGTCTTTTAAAACCTATTTAATGTAATTATTTTTATTTATAATTACTAATTATTTTTGTTGAAAATTAGTATCTGAACTACATATAAACTTTACTCAACAAATAGCATGAAATGATTTATAAATAAACAGACTTACAAAAGATTACTGTAATCCCATTTATATTAGATGAGCTAATTATTTATAATTAATTATTGCAGACCCGAATTTGGCAGTGGAGCTTACAAATGCCTTCTGGAGCGTACCTTCGCGCGGAGCCACTTTGCTACTCACTGAACAACAACGAAGTTCTATTACTCACTATAACAGCTGAAGATACATCAACAAATCCTATTGTGGTTTGTATTCCTTTTATTCTCTACTACCCTGTATAGAACTTAATATATAACTCCTTGTTTCCTAGTATGGCTTTATCTAAGATTTATATTATTTTACCAGATTTATATTTATATTACCAGATATATATTCTTGTATAAAAAAAATTTAAAATAGACCGTTACATCTCATTCACATATATATTGTACATAAGGTTTGTATGTACAAAATTTCATGGCTTTAAATTAACAGATTTACGCTGTGTGTTGTGAATCAGCTAGTGTTACTAAGGAACTTTTATCTCGTATAGTTACAACAATACGATTTCTAACAGGACAGAGAGATAATATTCTTGACGGCTCGCGTTCACCCGGGCGAGAGCAACGCGTCCTGGGTAATGGACGGCACCCTGGAGTATCTGCTAGGCGCCTCAACGGCCGCCGCAGCGCTGCGAGCCAAGTACGTCTTCAAGATTGTACCGATGCTCAACGTCGAAGGAGTCATCAATGGTTGGTAAGTAATTTAGTATCCATTTCAGACTAGTAACAATGAAGTGTATAACTGTATACGCGGAGTGTGTTTAATCAAATATTTGACACAAATTCTATTTTTTTTTTTTATTATTTGAAAGCTATTATCATATATTTGGTTATATGAAACCTCAATTTTATATTTATACACTTGTGAATAATCAAAAATTTACTAGGAGATTTAGTGTTATACGAACATTACAAAAATAAATAGTAAATAAACAATTTGTGCCGTTATAGTTGATACGAAATGAAAGACATTTTTCTTAAAAAGTTTAAACTTTATTAACTTCGCTACATCACTATTCTTTAAATTCTTGAGTTTCAACTTAATATACTTAACTAGGTACGTCACGTTTATAAACACTATCTTATACCACTATACGAATGATATGTCCTGAAATATTAATATCCGCATAATTTTCTTAAATTAAATTAATACATTTTACGGTTTAATAAAAACACCAGAGATCTGACACGCTTACTTAATTGCCTTATCGACGTTTAGGTACCTATATATTTCGTGGAATACTCGTTTTGTGATATTCAATACTTCCGAAGACGGAGGCGAGTCGCGTCGGGCGAGTCACCAGCACCTTCATTTGTCATTGCCCTAGAAACCTTCGAAATCACCATAATTGATCATAAATTACTCGATGCAACTCATGATTTTAGAAATCTCAAGAGAATAATAAATCAATTAACCAAGACATAAAATGCACCCATTACACGCTAGCTCCAATCGTTAAAGCACCTTAAGACTCGCTTTGTATGCTTCTAGATAATAATAATTCTAGATAATGAAAATAATACTTTTGGTAGATTCAGTTCTAATTATTATGAAATGTATACCCTAATGAGAGCGCTAAGTCGGACGCTAGTAGGCGGGGGGTGCCAGCATGCCGCTGGCGTGGACGGAGTGCTCTGTGGCGTCCGGCTCGGCGGTCGACGGGATATCATCGGCGGGCGCGTCGTGAACCTCTTGGCCCAAATACGCTGCCGGGTCGTCACCAACCATGCCCTCGTCCTCCGCGTAGGGTCCCTGAGTTGGCTCTTCTTTTTCTTCCTGCTCATGGTCATGCGCATGGGCATCGGCTGCTCGTGAATAATGGGAGTCGATTTGCGGTGGGGATTTGAGCAACGCACTTGTCTTGAGATGCGGGGACTGAAGGCCGTCAAGAGAGGAAGGCCGCAGCTTGCCGATGAGGTCGTTCAGGGTGAAGTGGGTTGGCAAGTGCTCGGAGCGCGGTGGCGGCGGAGACGATGATGTGAGCGGGTGCGCGGTAGTCGTGGTCGTCAGCGAAAGAGGCTTCCTGCTGACCAAAATAGGAGGGTCATCGACGAACTTTTATAATCAATCCAATATCGAGCTCAATTAACAAAAATAAAATTCTTTCAGAATAGTAGTTTTGTTAACATGACATTAGACGAGCACGACACTATGGACGTAGATGACACTCCAACATAACAAAACTGGTGCTTCGTACAATAATTATATTTTAATGAGTGATTAAACATAAACTAAGACCGGAAACAAACTAATACGGTTAGTGAAAAACAGATACTTATTTTGGAATCATAGTAAATGATATGAAACAAAATCGAAACAAGAGATACCAAGCAAAGCCCCCTTCACCCACCCACCAAATAATTTTTGTAAATTTTGAATCATTAAGTTCTTAAAAGGAGTAGTGTGAAATTCCGAACGTTTTCTTGCTGGGTGTAGGGCTCTTGTTTGGTGGTTGGGTTAGCGCAGAGGCCTTATCCCGCAGGTCCGCGCGCTTATACATTTAAGAACCAAGGCACACACTTGGACTAGATGTTAGCACAGTCTATATCTATCTACATGATAGTATGTCAATCTAAGTACTAAAATTAAGATATGGTAGATTACATTAGAACGATGTGCCCAAGAGCCTGTGTATGAAGGGAGAGCGCGCGGCTAGTCGGGGAGCGGGCCTCCGGAGACGGCTGGCATCTCACCTGGCATATTACCCCTGCGCCGAGGATACGGGTATAGAGCCATAATTGTAGTAGTAGCAACGGGTCTGCTCGCAGATGAAGTCCTTGATCTCGCCGCAGTGCTGTGGCTCCCAGTGGAAAGTGGGCGCTTTGAGGGCGACGCATCCGTTTGTCATCACGTGCTCCGTTCTGGAATACCGACTAGTTTTTATGCAACACATATCTTTATACGTGATTAATAATTAAGATCCACATATGTGTTTAATTACTTACATATAATGTGGATGCTTTATTTACCTCAGTAATTTTTAATGAAAAAATTTGAAAAGAAGATCTCATTATTATTCTAATATAAATTAAAAGAAGTTCGGACTAAATAACTAGTTGACTATTTATTGATCGAATATTGAAATCAACTAGCAACATGAAATCTAGTGTAAGTTTCATAAATGATATAAGCAAGTAATAAGAAAGTATTTTACATATAAAAATTAAGTTTTTTGTAAGAGATTTTTTTATGCGAAATGTGATAATTTCTAATTATTTTTTGCAATTGAAAAGATATGACAACCCTCCCAAGGTATATAAACATAAACTAGAAAACGAAAATATTTTATGAATCTTGAATAGAACAAGTGACCGCGAGGTTTATACGAAAAATTAAAAAAAAAATAACCTTAGGGAAAATTGTTCAATTTGATAAACACTAATGCTGGTTACGAGTATATAAATTAATATATTATTCATAATTAAATGACACATACCCATGCCTAGCAGTGCGTTGAGGGGCCGTGCTGCCCTGCGGTACATCCAAGGGGTCGATACTGTCGTCGGAGCGCTGACTGGGCATATCCATAGTCAACCTTCTCATGTAGTTGAAGGTCGCGTTGAAGGGCAATCCCGTACTCATCCACAGATACATGTCTGTGCCGAGGTTATTGCCTGACGTCCAGAAGTCGTATTTGTTATACCCTGAAAATAATATATTATATATCGTCAAATAGTGCTTATAGTGTATTTTTTATAAATGGATATTAGATGCGGATTGTCATTTTTCTAATGAATATAATAGTGATTGCATAACAGTAATAATTTTTCTTGTCTCTCTGTTTGCATGTTAACGCATTCTGTTAAAACGTCGGTAATATTTTTTTTAAATTAATGATAATACTGATTATTTCAGTTACTTTAATTCATAGTATACTTTGTGTTCTTAAACCCTACATGAAATTTCATCATAATCGAAAAAGTGAATCATCACCTGTGGGAATTTTTGAAAATTAAACTTAATGTAGCTTTGATGTTAGGCTGATTCAAACTCTTTTGAATAGTGCACGTTTTTTAATCGGGGCATAGTCAGTATAGGTAGGTACTGCTAATTTACGGCCTTAAAATATATTCAGATTATTATTTAAATGAAATAAAAACTAAGTATTTAACAATCAAAACTCCTCTCACCTGCATTAGTTAGATATGTCGTTATTGAATCTGCTTTTTCTTTTGTCTCAAATGATGCTAATTGTAGGCCTAATGATCTGAAATAATAGATAAAAGCAATTTAAACTTCAGAAAAATGACTTTTTTTAACATAATATTTATAGATAACAAAGAGAAATTAAATGAAGTCGCTGCTTCATTTCATTTCTTTGTTTTAAAATTTACATAAAACAGAAGCAAGAACTTACATAAGGATAGTGAGACTATATGATTGATAAAATAATAAATCAATTAACGAAATGTAAATCTTTTAATTATTTTTTTAATTTAATTATTATTTATAGTTGGACATTTCGTGTGCAACTATTAATCATTTACTAGTATATATAAAAAATATATAATGTAGGACAGCTCTACGCTTACTTTATATCTACGTAGCTACAAAGTATATAAGTACATATGTCTGTAATATCCAATAAAAATAAAATACGAAGTCTATTCAAGGGCAGGATATGTCTCTGTACAAGTGAGGACTACAATATCCGTGGGCGAAATGCGAACATTAGATACTGTACGTTATTTATGCGACTTGAGTGAACCATTTCGCCTTTATAACATTACAATATTCACCTCCTATAGTTTGGTGTCGCTGACAGTAAAATTGAAAATACTTGCATTACTTATACGCGATATGAAACGTCTCGATCCTTTGACAGTAGGCAGTTACAGACCTGTCCTACCGGATCTTTATACGTGATTTAACTACCCGGCTAATCGTATTCAGCTATTAGCTACCATAGATACTCGTACCATACAGCAGAGCCAGTTCATCGGGAGGCAATTTTATTCGCTAAAGATAGGCCACGTTGCAGCCAGACTGCATTCCTCATGCGGGTTCAGAAAACTCTTGGGAGATTAAAAACCTCTACGTTAATCGCGTAGCTATTATATTTTGTAATAACAATAACAATTTAAAGTTATTACAGGTATTTCCTTAATAATAATGGCGCCATTAACTTTTATGAATAAAGACTTTAACTTGATGATTTTTAAACAAATAAATATTTTAATAACTTAAATACACTTGACTTTAACGAGAATATATTCTTAATAAAGTGTGATTATCTAGTTAATATCTTTATTTACCAAAAGTCATACACATAATAATTATACTGTCACTGCAAAGGTGAAGATTTGCGTAAATGTGATCCAGAGGTTAATTTTTGTTCAGGCCAATTATAAAAACTACATTTTTATAATTACATATATTCTGATTTATGTCCTTAATTGTTAATGGTTTGGTATTTCGTTACACAATGTAATTTAGTAATCAACCAATGAGTAATTGTGTAAAACTTAAGTATATATATATATATATATATATATATATATATATATATATATATATATATATATTAAAAATAAAAAAGCCTGTACATTCGACAAGAAACCTTAAATTGACAATTAATATTATTCTATTTATCAGTCCGTCTGTTTTCTATCGAATTACGTAAGAATTAATATTTAGATTATATTAGAACGGATAATTACTACTTTTTACATTAGTGCGTTTTACACATAGGT